TAAAAAAAAAAAAAAAAAAAAAAAGAATGAAATGTATTCCGCATGGTTTGTTATGCAAACGAGCAAAAGCTGTGCAGGGTCGGCTCGAATTGGAATCTCCCTTGCGAATCAGTCTGAAAACACTTGGCCGAACAGAACGAACGAACTGTCAAGCGAAGCACGTATGTTCCCTAATTACACGCACGGGACGCGTGCGTACACCATTTCGAACAAGTCCGAAGCCCTCGGTACATCGGTTCGTTACGCACCGGATCGGACTACAATTTACGTAGTCGTTTACCGTGTCCTGGCACGCTTGTACGCGTTAATCGTGACTTATTTCGATTCTTCGATTGTAACCGCGTTAACGCTTGCAAATCTGTTTCCATTTTACTCCTATTCTCTTACCGCGTGTTCGATCCGAAGGGAGAAAGCGAAATCAGAGAGAATTAAATACGAATGTAATTATCAGATTGATGAGAATTTCGTTTTTTATGTGATAAATATAGCAAAGGTTTTTTTTTTAATTCTTGGAGAAATTTAAACGTATAATTTAGATAATAAATTAATAATAAATGAAGAAATAGTGTTGGTTTATTAAAATTCAGATTAATTTCTGAAATGTGGAATAATACTCATAGTAGATTAATTGCTATAATAAAATATAATTTCTTTACGTTTAAATTCTTCAAATTATTATATATTTTCACTTTCCAATTTCACTGGTTTGTGAAATGTATAAAAAAAAAAAAATCATTATCTTTGGAATACAAAAGTTATTTAAGAATCTAGAGATAACGCAAAATTCTGAAAATTTTAAATTACAATTGAAGGTTTGAATTTTTCTTTTCCAATTAAAAATAATTTAGTGTTATAGATTTAATCAGAAGAAAGTGAAATTGAAGAGAAGAAAGTTGTTACGCACAGATGTGATTTCCATGTGTATCGTCTGTTGCTCTTTTCACCGTGACCACTTTCTTCTGTTTAATCCAAGTGTCACGCGTTCCAGCACTTTGTCATTTTACGTAACGTTTCATTTTACTTGTCTTTATTCATACAATACAGGAAGAATCTATTCGCGTCACATTAAAAATTATTTTATTTAACGAATCTATTATTATCTCTTGTACAAATTATATTTATAAGATTTGCATATCTGGTTAAACGTGTCAACATCATGAGAGCAATTGCGTATCACATCACATTAGGAAAATTTACACAATTATCTGATTCCGAATTGATGCTCTAGGCAATGATGTGAATTAATCGTGATTTCATCTGATCAGGCTTGAATAAACTTGCTTGTATTTCTGCTTAACGATACTTGTTCATGATAAATTGGTTGCGCATCTAAATTTTGCACTCATTGATTCTAACTTATTGCAACATTGAACGATTAGATTCTGTTTAGACTCTATCAAAAAATAAACATTTAAGAGTTGAGAAATTTATAATATTCGTACTAAGAGGAATTAGAATCTGTATTAATTCTTTTGAAGTGTGAAATTTATGTAATTTTGTATGTAGAAGGAATATTAAGCTGTATGCTAATAAATAATATTAAAATAATTAAAGAGATCAATATTGAAATTATAAAGATCTAAGAAAAAATATTGTATTGAAAGATATTATTAAGAATATAAAGAAAGAGAATATTAAATAGAAATAATAGTAAAACAAAATTTGATTTTATTTTTACAAGTCTTTTTCTTTTCATTTGAATAAAATATTCTTATGTATAAATCACATGTATTTTTAAATTCTCATCTTGTATATACGTATCTCTGAGATACATATATTTTCCATTGTTGCTATTCAATTGTATTGTTGATTATGAGGCAGTAAATTATCTTATTAAGTATTCCTACAAAGAGAGATATACGAAATTGCATCAAAGTATTTATTTTAGAATTATTTCTCATTCTTTTGAATAGTTAATAAACTTATTTAAAATAGTTAAAAATAGTTTCTTTAATTATTCTTATATATTAAAAATCTTATTTATCAAAAAACAAAATGCAATTAAAGCATTTGGTTCGTTTAACATTACTCTGAATGTTACTCTGTGGTTATTAATTATAATACAACTCGATATATTATAAATAATTTTTAATAGAGTATTACAAATTATGCATTTTCAATTCAATTTAATTTACTTGCGATTATATATGTTAATTATAAAAATTCACGATACCAATATCGCAACTCGTTACAATTTACCAAGCTATTTGATGTACTTGAACAAGTTAACGCTGCAGGCGTCGACGCGAGCTTCTCGTGACTCGGTCTGATTAGGCTTGCTTATGCTTCATTAAATTTAGCAATGACTGCTCGAAGGCAAATTACGTCTAAATACGGTTTTCAAAGGCTCGAAAATTTCTCTTTCAATGATGTTCATCTATACGTTCGCTGTGTGTTTCGTTTGATCGTGCCAATTATACATTTTCTATGAACTTTATCGCAAAAAGGAGAAAAGAGGAAATAAACTTTGCAATTTTAATTAAAATTAACGACATATAGAGTTTAATTAAATTCTGAAATAATTTATTCAAATGCAAATATGAAATGCGACATTGTCAGAAGATAAATTAATTAATTGAACTTTCTAAATTTTCTTAACGTAATAATTTAATACTAAATTTATTAATGTTTTGTTTTTAACAAATATTAAATTATTAATTCATTATTAAATAGAAATCTAAATTTTCTAAATTTTCTTATTTTATATTAATATTTCGTTTTTATCTAATAATTTTCATTCGTAGTATAAAGAGTATAAAATTGATCAAAAATTTTTATTTTTAATTCCAAAATATATTTAACTTTTTAGAAACTAAATAATTAATTTCAATGGATTATTTAAAAATAAGTTATTTATATTTTATATAGAAATAGAAATAAAATTTTGATTATTACAAGAAATATAACGACTAGAAAATTATAAATACGATAGCAACGTATAAGGATGAACGATTTGGAGTTTGTAAACCATTTATTATGGTTTCGTGGTTGACGTTATACCAAAGCAAAACAACTGAACGATATGACTCATTGTTTTGTAGATATTTGCCTGTTGCCTAATTCCGTCGCAATTTGATTATTAACTCGGGAATCTGTATTTCCTTTCTTTCAATCCGAATGAATAAAACTGTTTGCTCTCGTTTTAAATACAGGAGCTTTTTACGTGTGATATCGTCGACGAATATAAAAATTGAGATAAATTGAGAAAAACATGTTTTCATCAAATATATGTAAAAATGAAAATTTAAAATTAATACAAATTTTATAAAAATTATTTCTCTATTTGATATTTATTATTAATTTTACTACCATATTTAGAAAATATTATTATTCGTTAACGTCCTTGTTATTTCTAGAAAATATAATATTTTATTTTATTGTGAATAGCTTAAATAATTCTTATTTATATATATCAATACATTTATTTTTAAATCCAAACAATTTATTCATGTAAAAATTATTAATTTCTGATTTTCAAATTAAAAAGACGCAATTAATTATATCTTTTTCTCTCATAATTAAAAGTATCCTCTTTTTGCCATCAAATAAGATCAAAGTCAGGAAATCGGCAAAGACTAACTGGCTGACATTTTCCTCCTTCGGTCTAATTAGACGGAAAATTTCAGAAAAAGACGCGTGAAATACAGATCCTCGATAAATTTGCGAATATTCATGCCGGGGCAAAATGTTGGCATAGTTGTTAATCAAACACGCTGTAATTGACACCAGTAATTTGCAGCATCTTGAGAAGCATGCGACGCTTCTCATCGCAAACCTATGGCCGCGAGCGACAGTTTAAGTTGTCGCAACTTCGTCGTCGTTAGGGGGTTGTTACCCCGTATTAAGGTTAAACACATACGAAAATATTAGACCAACAGCTTGAATATTTAGTCATTCAATGGAAAAATATCTTTTGCCAATATGGACGTAACAGATCAATAATAATTTGAAAATGATTGAGAAAGTAAGTAATTATGCGATTTCTTAATAGATATTATTTCAACAATGAAATGTTATTCATTAATTCTTTTCTAATTTTCTAATTTTTCAATATATAATTATATTTAATGTTGTCATAAATGAAACGTTTCTTTATTTTTAGCAAATTGAAATAATAAGTTTCTTCAAGCATTGTGTATCGATATTCGCTATTCTTGAATTTTTTAGAGTCATCTGTATCTGCGTGTAACTCATCAAATCAGAACATTCGTATTCTAAAGTTGCAAATCTTTCTGATGTCATCTCTGATATCATCTATATGTATAGCGTGAAAATATCATTGTATAGATATCATGAATAGAAAAAAGTTATCTCGTATTCATTTGAAAAATTAAATTACAAAATAAAACGCGCAACAAATTTTTTTTTTTGCATTTAATAATTTCAAAATTTGTTGAAATGTTGAACGTGCAAATTTGATCAAACAAGAAACGTGTATATTTTATAAATATGCTATGCTTTGGAAAATAATTTTCCTTGATATTTCGCCTTGAATCGTGAACAGAAATTTTAGCTTGTTCGTGTAACATATTTCATGCGTAATTTAAAAATCGTATATTAGTCGTATTTTCTACGTAGGAACTTTCACCAATTTTCTGATCTCGTCACTTTCTCGAACTTTTCATAAATTTTTCATTATACAACAAAGAAGAAAGATATACGTATTTTAAAAAATCGATATCAAATTATGATAAATGTGATAATTTGGCGTGTAAGCATTTGTGAGAGCGAGGATTAAAAGAATAAGTAATATGTAAAAAGAAAAAGAAAATAATAATACGATAAATAAATGCTCTTTATTATTGCGCATTTATTTTAAAAACCGTTGAACAAGTGCAATGAAAAATATTTGCATTGTAATTATAAATCTCTTATTTTTTTCAGCATGGTACAATGCAATATGCATACGTAATATATGTATGTACATGTATCCTGTTAAAAAGTAAACTCATTTAAACGCTCTTTGATACAGTCAGTTTGTTACAATTAATTCTTTCTCGTATCACTCTATAATTTAATACTTAAAATATATTTATGTTTAACGTTTTTAAATAGTTCATAATACTATGTTTATAAATAATATCTATTTAAAGTATTTAATATTTTAACAATGTATTCCTTGTAATTCTATCTTTTGATTATACACAACATATTAATTTTATTATTTATAAAAAAAAAAAAATTTTGTATCATAACTCAAATAATTGATCGATCATCAATGATCAATAAATTCTCGCAAATTCATTTGTTGATAATTAACATCATATTGATAATTAATTATATTCAACAAGAGATGAAATATAAAAAAAAAATATATAAACCACTATACTTCATTATCATACAATTACATGTTTTTCAAATCTATTATCTGTATTTCATATCGCGAAATTTATGCAACATCACTTCTATCTTATATAAACTGTTTCGCGAAAAAAAATATTGGCTGAAAGTGCCAGTGAACCGTCGAAATGACTACGAAACGCAGATATAATTAATACACCGCCAGTCGATATCAGCTTATCGAGCTCTCGTCCAATGAGTTTTCATCGATGCACTCGAGAGTGCATAACAATTTGTACGACTAGTTACGAGTGTACACACTCATTTAAATTCGTACTTTATTATTGTCGGTTGTGATTTATAAGGATCGACCGTTCCACTTGACATTTTCATTTTTCCTCCCCGTTTTTTTTTTTTTTTCCCTCCTGAATTATAAAGGCGGTGATTGTTCGCCAGACACGCCTAATGTGAAACATTGTCGTGTTGCAGTTGTACATTAGTACGCAACGAAAGTTATGTAAAAATTTTCGAGATTTATCGTTTCGATGGAATTATTAGCGGTGAAATCGATACGCGAGTTTGAGCGAGTTGAATTTAGTTTGTTTGAAAAAAGAAACTTTATATGTTTTTAATTAAGTAACGTTATGTAGAAGTGAAAATTATTGAACGAGAAAACATTGGTGAATGATATCGATCTTAAATTTGTTTTTGTACGAGTGTTTTTGTTGGACAAACTTAATTTCACAGGTGTTCGATTTGCGCTATTTTTCTTCTTTAAGGGAGAACCTTACTATCAGAGTCATCTATTTTACTTAACCTAGATAAGACAGTTCACCTTTTAGAAGGATGAGAAACCTAAATAGAAGAGCTAAATAGAGTTTCTAAATTAATTCCTGGTTTCTTCGATGAAGGTGTCATATTAGTTTAATATCATCTTAGAAGAATGGCTTGTTATGACGTAGCTATTGAAAATATTCTATAAAGTGGTATCCATTGAAATAATCTAGTATGAAAAATGGAATTTAATATTTAATTGTAATAATTTTAAAAATTATAAACGATGAGAGATACGTCAAATTAATTAAGTAAAAATTAAATAATTTTTAAATAATTTTTTAAAATTTATAAGATAATATAAAGACTTTCATCAAAAGAGATGGTATTTTTTATTAAAATATACAAATTAATATAAACGTGCAAAGATTTATCAAAATCAGTACATCGATCATTATTTTTAATAAATTGAAATTGAACAATAATTTAAAAGAAAAATATAAAAGCAATTTTAGAGGCAACAAAGTTTAATATTTCCCCGATTTTGCAAAATTCCAACATGATCGCCACGTGTAATTATAGAACTAAGTAGATGTAGCAAAGTTTAAGATCAGGCTAATTTGGTAAATTACGATGTATAATTTATCTCGGTGTGTAAACTGCTCTTAGGAAGAAGTTTAACCCTTTAAGTTTCATGAACGCATGCAGGAACGCATACAAACGTACATACTTACATTACGTTTGGCGAAATCTCATCATGGATTATGAACCAGCTTGAAACCAAAAGATACATTTTATTTATTACGATTTATATAATATAAATATAAAAAATGAGAAAAATTCATCTCGTACAATTTTATATAATGTAATGATATTGTATATTATTTCAATAATAAATAATGTCAACACCATGCATGAAATAAATTTTATTTTTATTCCATATTTTTATACTTTCCACAAATAAATCAGCAGGGAGATGTTCTGTAAAAATTTTATTCCAGTGAGTTTATCGTACAAATGATCTCGTTTAAAGTACCTCGTGAAATTAAAGAAGAGTTGATATGATATGAAATATAATTTATATTTAATTTATATTTTTTTTTTATTTTTGAAAAGAAGAGAGAGTAAATTTTTTTAAAAATTTTATTGATCTACTTTATGATAACAAATCAAATTTTAAAATTTTAAATGATATCAATAATAAATCCAACAATGAATCAAAAAATGTTCAAATTATTCAAATCTTAAGAATATATTTTTATAAAATAAGATTCGTGAAAACATATTTTATTAAGATATTTTAAATGATAACATTTTGAAAAATAGGAAAAAAAATGTTATATATATAAAAAAAATTTTAATCAAGAAGAACAGTATGTATCTATTATATTATATTATTTATATCTAAAACATTTAAAGTTCCTAAAGAATCATTGAGGAGAATTTTAAAATTTCGCGTCTTTAATTGAAACAAGTATGCAGATTGAGAATTAAACGATATATATTTCTTTTAAATATAATAATGTAATAATTGGCGAGCGTCGAGGGAATATATTTTAATCTATACGGAGAAGAATTTTAATTTATATCCATGGATGCCAAGCGTAATTAAATTTATAAAACGAGAAACTGTATATATATCGTGCTTGTATTAATTAAAGAATAACCGAGATAAAAGAATAGTTTTACGTATCCGAGTTATTAATAAATTAAATAATACAAATCTTCTGTTTTGCAGTACATTAAAGATAAAATATATTTTAATGAAATATTATTTATTGTTCGTTGAATATTTTTGTGAATGAATTTCATGTATGATTAATTCTTCTTTTTTTTTTATATAATATTTATCATATAAAGTATCTACCTTCATGATTAAACGTGATTGATGCATCAAAATATTTTTCATTTATAAAAAACTTCTCCTATAACTATCCCATAGGGAAATCCTGATGTTTTATCGAATATTCCATTATAAAAAATTTATTGTACAAGGATTGAACAAATAAAAGAAGAAAAGAAAACTACCAATATGTTATTTCAAATGGGCAATCGTTATATATACAAATGGAACAAATATATTGTATACATTTACATGCGTTCCTCGAATTATACCTCTTATTTATCGCAAATAATAAGTTTTCTATCTTATCGTCACATTTTATCTCCTCTATCTTATCATTTCTCTTTACTTTTATGATCAAAATATTTACTTTCGCTAAGTTACTTATTTAGTAACAATGTAATATATTTCTATGAATGAATTTACAAAAATCTTTTCTATTTCCCAGAAATATTAATCACTTTTGGTATTAAAAAAATTAACAATCAGTCTCCAATTATACCCCAAAATATTACATTTCCAATAGATTAAAAAACCTTAGTCTATTCAAATTCCATGATTCGAAATATATTCACTCACCAATTAACAGCAACGACAGCAAAAATATCTAACTCCCCCCAATCTCCACCCAAAACTCGAGGCAAGGCTTCAATCTTAAACCTACGTTTATTCCACGTGGGTTTGACAGGTCGCGTGATGGATACGCTGAAAATCGCCCCTCCTCGAAGGCGAAAGCTCGACCCTCGCGAGCGAAATCCAGTCAGATGCCTCCTCCAC